GGCAGCTTCGTTGGGCGGAGCACCCCCACACTCCCTCCGCCCCCCTGCAACCCCATGAAACTGTGTAGGAGTGACCCTCTGGCCCCATGTGCTAGGGAGGTTCACACACACACACACACCGCGCTGTCCTCCCCGATATCTGTAAACATCTGCAAAGCTGGGCTTAACGTCTCTGGTGCAGAGGCCGCTGCTTCTCTCTGCCGCCTTCGCCCCGTCGTCGATCTCCGTGCCGGAGCCAGTTGGTGGCGAGGTGCAAGTGGTTGGATTTGGATAAGACTGACACGGTACTAGCAAGCTTGGCACTTGCCAGGGTCACGTCACGAGAGACCGGATCGTTCCAGCAGGGACTTAGGGGTACTTAGAAATAATTTTTAATCTTTGGTTATTATAAACCCTAAGAAGCAACTAAAATTATAATTTTTGCTAGGGGTCTAAGTTCAGTATAGGGGAGGTCAGATGTGGTGCGGTCACAGGTCCGTAGGGCATGGTTGTACGTGTTCAGGTGGAGCTGTCTACTGCGTATCCCTTCGATCCAGAGGCACCGGCCACACTGTCTTGCCTCCCATGCTCGCTTGCCTTGCAGTTTGCTGGCCTTGTTTACTTGTCCGACACGCAGGGTCCGCTGCGCTACACTGCGAGAGGCATCCGCCCTCCGCACTGAGCCAAGTCATGCCGGAGGTGTTCCATCTTCATGTTTTCTGGCCATCAGATCCTGTGAGGCTGCAGCTCCTCGTTCGTGTGCCGCAGTGGGCGGACCTCGAGCGCTCAGAGGCCGTCAGAGGCCATGCAGCACAGCCTGTTTTGTCTGGCTGGGTTCGATAAGGCTGCCGGTGCTCGTGGCACCTTTCTTCTCAAGGATGTCGCGACTGAGCGCCACGCTCCGAGGATGTACGTCCTTGGGTCTTGTCGTCGAATCCTTTCCGCTGCATCGGGTTTGGACATCCGTGTGTTATTCCAGGAACAAGCGATGCCGAGCTCCCTTTTCGTGTTTTTTGGTTGGAATGCAGATGCACACTTCTTATCGAGCTATGAAAACTCCATTCGCAGCTATAGATGCATTGCTTCGATTTGAGCCGTTTTGTGTTCCTGCAGTCGCACATGCTGCTGGGTAAATTTACAGGCCTGGGGCCTTCGCCATGATAAGATGTATGAGGTGCCCCTTCAGCCTTGGCACACTGCAACTCCAGAAGTCAAAAGCGATGTTTTACGTCTTCAGGGTAAACGTGTTTCGATTCGTCACAACTTCCTAGAAGCATGCTGGGCCCGAAGACATTTCATTTTATTCGCAATGTCTTCGCATCAGAAGCACATGTGACACGGAAGTCCTGCAACCGGGATCTGAAGAAAGCTCTTAATTACCAAGTTTCTTCACGGACTTGAGCACCGATCGGAGTTGCTGCATGACTTTCGTACTACAGAACACAAAGCACACTCTGGAAGAAACAAGCAACGACTCAATGGGACAACATTGCTGTTCATGGTTTGGGCCTGGCTCAACTAGAGGTCTTGTTTAAGTCACAACGGCGCAGATGCAGTTCAGACCCGTCCCTTTCTGGAAGTCGCGGAGCATGCATGAGGTCCATCCACACTTGGTCTCCTCATCGAGGAGCCGAATGCCGAGTGGGAGGCACGCTGAAATAGGATCATCTGCGCAAGATTGCCAGGCTCAAATCTAGAAGTGTTCTCTCAGATTTTGGTTGTTGTGAGAGCGGCAGTTCCTCCTGAGGTCCGCTTTGTTCCGAAGCCGTTGCTGAGAGAAGGAGTCGCCGGAGCCAGCATCCAGCCGGGCTCCCCGCAACACCGCCAAAGGCAAAGCATGCCTCTCTTTCGCAGCCGATCCAGGTTCGGACCGCTGATGTTTGTCCAGCCCATTTCGCACCGCGCGGTGCCTTTGCCTTTGGACGGTAGCGTGTCGGCAACAGAGCTGAAGCTTTGGGGGTCCCGAAAGTTGGTCGTGTCGGGGATGTGCAGGCCGTTGCGCTGCCACCCCTCAGTGAAACAACTATCCCATGTCATTAGAGGGTCCCGAAATGCTGCGCGGTGCATTGCATGAAGCTGCCTTGGAGCTGTGAAGTCAACCAAAGCCCCAGCATGTCGAAGGCATTGTTTTCTTTTCGATGCGTGTCGCGATGCCGGAGCGGCAACCAAGATGGGCCATATGGTCCCGGTGCCCATCCTCCTCCTGCAGTTCGCGATGAAATGTTGGTTCCTTTGCAGGAGCCGGAGGTGCCACCCTTAGCTGCCAGAAAGGTGGTCATGATGCTCCTTGTTACGCTACCATGTATGAAGAAAAGCAGAGTTCAGACGAGGCAGGGCAGCATGTCAGAGGTCGGTTCATCTACCAGTAACGCTGATTTGATGCCGGCTCCAGTTCCTCCTGGACTCAGTATGACCCAGTCTTGAATTCAAAAGTCCCCACGGTACGGAGGGCAGGGCACCCGCCCGAGCTGAACGCAAACAAGAGGCATTATTCATCTAGAAGCGAATGATGCCGATGATGCTGCGTGCCGGGTTCCGGTAGGGGGCTATCCAGGCTGCAGAGCCTCAAAGCACGCATCCGGCCCCGGTGCTGAGCGCAGATTCCGCTCTGGCTCAAAGCCCTGAGCCCGACGTTTTTCGGGTCGTAGTTTATGTGGAAAGTTTCTGCTTTGTGGCAAGAGCGCAGTGCATCCTGCCTACAAAAGCTATCAACTTTCGCGACCCCCTCATCCCCAGCAGACCAGATGGCTCACAAATTTCAGCAGACATGTGGTTTATGAGTTTGCTGTTTGTTCTGTGGTGATTCCTTCATTAGTAACTGGAAGAAGCGACCCGGCATCCCAACGAGTCACTGTATGAGCCAATCGTATCTGCCTTTTTAACATTCCCCTGCTGGCGACTCTCTCTACGCACCCATAAGCCAGAAGCATGACATTAGGACTGCGTAGCTCTCCAGCGTTGCTGAGTAGCTCTCGTCTCAGTCCCCTAGCTCCAAGACGTTCAGAATAATTGCCATAATAACTGCCCGATTCCGAGGTTTGGAGTCTCCTCCTGAACGAAACTTGGGAGAAGGGTGCTGGCCTGAGCGTACTTAGGCTGCTTGCGCTCGCCAAATCTCGAGACGAAGACTTCAGGGTTTACGTCTTTACGGCAAATCAAAAGCCACATCGCCGAGCCCTGAGTGCCGAGACCTCACCATCTCGGCTCCCGAGGGCTCGCTGAAGGCCAGCAGGAGTGCGGCTGACTCCAGTGCTTGCACCAGGTTTGAAAGGGTGCTGTTCAGGCTGTCAGGCCTTTCGGGTTCCGCGTTTCCAAAACAAATCCCAAATCATGGCTGGAACCTTCGGGTTCAAGCTGTGGTTGGTGAGTTGCCGGTTTGACTGCCGATGCTGGGGGTGATCGATTTTTGCTGAGTTTAAGGTTTTGTCACTGTGTTGCCATATTACGTGTTTCTCAGAGCGCAGCTGGCCCTCTCTGTAGGGCTTCCAGCTGGACGGTTGCCCAACGTTGGCGCTGTCTGGGCACAGGCAGGGGATGTGATTGGGGTGCTTGGAGCCGTGCGATGACACGCAGCCCCTGTGAGTCCGATGTAGCAGTTTAGCGATCAGTAGCGTAAGCGTCACGGACTTACAGAGCCCGCGCCGAGGCTTGAGGCTTTCGGATGCACGAAGCTTCGTGGGTGTCTCAAGTCCGTGCAGATGCCGGCTGAGTTCATGTTTGCACATATCCAATTCCGTGGCAGCTCTGTTCGATTTGCATTCACAGGTTTTGCCGAGCTCCCCATCTTCGTGGAAACAGATGGAGTCGTGCAGCCAGCTTGGCAGAAAAGATGCTTCTGCTCGCCTTGAACGTTCATGTATGGCCCGGCTTAGAAGGTAGCACTGGAATGCAAGCATGAAGTCGTCATATCATCTCCAAGCACTGGGAAGTAGGTGGAGCCTGGGTGGTTCACGATGCTGCCGTCATATGCTCAAACACCTTGCCTGCATTGTTGGAGCTTTGTGCAATTGTGTGTAAGACAAAGACTTTGCCCCCAAGCCTTCAGCCGAGACACATACATGAGTTGCTGAGCTGTAGTGGATTCAGGGCAACCCGAGGCATCGAAGTCGAATATGAGTTCCGTCGGCACCACCTTGCGTCAACGTTTCAAAGTCCTGTTGGTCTTTCGTGGCATCTCATGCCTAATGTAGAAACAATACAGGCAGGTCCGAGTGATGCTCCTTTCCCGTGTGGCGACCGCCGTCAAGCTTCCACGGCTCTGCTATGACGCGCCGTCTGCCCGTGCTTGATTTCAGAAATACTGCTTCAATTTTCGAAATCGCACCACGCTCAGTCGATGCTTTCGCAATTGTTCAATGCCCCACCAATGAAGGATCGTAGCAACTGAAACCGCCCACCTGGAAGTCGCCCTCGCTGTTGCCAGGAACAGCTGGCCTTCGGAGCTCTTGAATTCTTTCCTTCCGTTGGGAAAGCCAGGCCCCATTAAGTTGTCGCATTGACTTTGCTGGGTTTTGCAGCAGATCGACGGCTTCGGATTCGAACTGAAAGAATCGATTCTTTGCAGGACTTGTCAGCTTTTTGTGAGATTGGAAGGAGCCGTGGCAAGTGCAGGGACTGACAGCAGAATACACTCCTGGGTGAACTCGTAGTAGCAGATGGGCTACAGCCCGTAGCGTTAGTCGAGGGCGGGAGGTGGCATTGCCTCCGGAACCACTGGTGGTGCGTGCATGTACTCAGAAGTCGAAGCAGTACTGCAAAGCTAGTGTGGTACCCCACTTGCCCAATCCAAGAGGTTCCCGCTTCGTTGGCTTGGGGGGGTGCAAGCGGAGGGTGCATCTGTCCAAGGTGCTTGTGCGCACTACCTGGTGCGTGCTGGTCAGTAGATGATTCAGAAACTGGCCCTTGAATCAGAAACTGAGCCTCAGAAGCTGCGCATCAGAAACCCGGCGCGGATGAGAAACTGCGCATCGGGCACCGCCGCGCAGCACCGGAAACTGGAGCTCGCAAACCGGCGCGTGGGCCCACACCGAGACGCCATAGTTGCCTGCATAGCATCGCCATCGTCCGCGTCATCGTTGTTGTTACTCCAGCTTGCTGCTGCTGCTGCTGCTGCTGCTGCTGCCGCCGCTGCTGCTGCTGCTGCTGCTGCTGCAAAGACTTGGAGTCGAAGTGTCGAAACGGCTTTGTTTCAGGCCCAGAAACGCGCTTGGCTTGTTGCACAGGCCAGCCCAGTCCAGAAGCTTTGCGCTTTCTTGACGAAGCTCCTCGGGTGCGACAGCCGAGAAAGTTTTGTGCAGCTGTCAGGCCTGTAAAGCAGCAGTCATCGATGTTGGAGCCTGCAAAATCTATAATGGCACATGAAAAATCATCCGAAAGCTTGTGCCTAGCTTGCTCAGGAATCTAAGGCTGACTCCACGGGCTCAGCGAGCTTGTTTTTCGATCCACGGACCGAGCTTTTGTCAAAAGAAGGAGCTTGTTTTTTGGGCGCACATAGACTTGGGTGGCGGTGGGGAGGGAGAATCGGAGCAGGTGGACGGCTCTGGCTTCGCCGTTGTGTGTGTGTGTGTGTGTTTCTGAGAGACAAGCGGAGGCAGGACGAGTCGCGAGGGGTGGGCTGGGGAGGTGCGGCAGGGGAGGCTAGGCAACAAGCCCTTCGCCCCCAGCTTGCCGCAGTCGGCGGCTTAAAGACGACACAGGCAGAGTAGATGAATTCAGTGCTCGCAGTAACATTGCTTCATACCAGCTTTCGGCAGAAGGCAGTTGCCACAACGATGCTCCAATTCTTCTGGGACAAGGGTTGTTTGCACTGGTCGTTACCCCGAGGCCACGCTGACACAGACTCTGCTGCATCGGAGCCTGTGCTGCTTTCCCTTGGCCTCGCCGGCTCGGCCTTGCCGGCCCGAGAGCCTCGGAGCTCGGCTCTCAGCCGAAGTCGATTGTGTTTCTGTAAAGAGAGCTCGCCAGGATGACTTCGACGTCAATGCGCGTGGCCCTTACTCACATGCAAACCGCAGCTGGTTGCCTGCCCTTTTCTGCAGAACTATGATCTCGAACAGGCGATTGAGGGCTTCGGAACCCTCGACAGCATGATGAAACTACGGAGCTAACATGCCATTGCTCATGACTACATCTGCGCCGAGCATAGCTACTTGCCTGCCTTTTTGCTGCCTACCTGCCTATCTACTCTACGTTCCTACATGTCAAACATGTAGGCACAGGGAACTATGCTATGTCTTCCGTCCCGAATCATACCCGACACCAGGGCTTGCATACCGAAGTAGGAGTGGCCCGCATGCGGCAAAGTTGTGAGACTCGTGAGAGTTTGGTTTTCAGTCAGGACACATGTAATACACGTGCTGTTGCAAATGTGACAAGTTTCCGTGGCCATAATAAGAAATGTCAGAAGTTGTTATCAAAAAGGAACTGCTTACATCCACAGAACCTTCGTCTCAGCCCTGGAGCTTTATACCACATTGCCGTGAATTGCTGCATGCAGGTGGTTTGACCTTTACCCGTTGCACCTCTTCAGCCGCAGTCAGCTCACTTCGCTCCTCGTTTGCTCTGAAATCGAGGTTCATGTCAGGGGTTCAGGAAAGGGGGGTACAGCGTCTTTGTGGAGATCTCAGGTGTTGTCCAACGTATTGTAACCGCTTCGCTTCGTCCGGCTTCCAGAAAGTTGTCTCGCGAAGAAGACAGACCAAGGAGTCTAGCGTTTGTGCATTTTCTCAGATATCTCAGGTATGTCAAATCTTTGTGCACAATGCACCGGCAGAGGGAAGAGCCGGGGTGATCTCTGGTTGTGGTGTAGTGCAACTTGTTGCACGGAGTGACATGTACGAGCGACGACAGCGGCAGACTCCGCAGCTGCTGTCTGCTCGAAGTCTGAAACTTTTCTGAAAATAGCCTTCGCCCTCGCGCCGCCATGTCGGGAACAGGCGCTTCTTTGAGCGGAGCAGCAAGCAGCTCAGGTGACGCGGTGCCCGAGAACATGTTCCGCACCACGTCGCTGAACTTCCGGAACTTGCAGTCACTGCGCGACGATGACATTTGCATGTGCTTGAACTGTGGATGGGATCCGTCGACTTCTTGGAGTTGACTACACGATCCAAGGCTACCTCTTCGCAGGGCGGTGGAAGGCAGGTACCTGCTACAAAGCGCACCATCACCGCAGGCACAGGACTGGCCCAGGGACTTCTTCGACATGCTTGTCCCCGACCTCGAGCTCTACGTTAATGCTGCACCTCAGGCGACCTCCGCTACCGTGCGCCGGTGCCCCACAGCTCTGAAGTGGAGGAGGGCGCCAAGGCAAGCTGGTCGAGATCTGCAGCTCGGGAGACACGGACAATGAGGACGACAGGCCGCGCTGCACCCGGCCGATGTCGACAACGACTCGGATGGCATGGCCCGCCACGGCTGGTGGAGCGCAGTCTGCTCACCCTCGCACCGGCCGATGACCCAAGCGCCGCGGAGGCACCCAGATCCGCGCGACTTGCTGCCGGGCGAGTTGGCCTATGTCTGGACACTACCTCCAAAATTACCTGCCCAGGGCGTGCCGGCTCGCCACGCCGATGCTCGAGTCGAGGGCTATTGCAACCTAGGGTGCGAGACGCCCGAAAAGGTATCGCGCGCGCCACCCTCAGGAGTGAGAGCGCGCTGTTACTCTTCTGACGCATTAGGTTCTCATTCTCGCTTCGGCCATGACGGCGGGCTGGAGAAAGGACACCGCGCGAGGCCAAGTTTGACGTCCTTGGCAATCTTGTCGGCCATCTGCTCCCAGCAAGGGTCAACTCGAAAACGGCGAAGTTTGTCATGAACGAAGCTCTCGCTCTTGACCATGAGGTCCTCGCTCGCGAGCGGACACGCGTAGCGGTCGACACACGTGGGTGGTACTGCCGACGCCTCGGGGCGTCACATTATGGATACATAAGGTCTTGATGTTTGGCTCCGTCGCTTCGGTTTGGGCGTGTTGCCGCGTGGCGGACCTCATGTCATGGTTGAGCCGCGCCTCCCCGCTGACGCCATCGCTGCACTTCGTGGACGATTTTGGAGCTGTGAAGATGATCTGCTGGCAGCGTCATCTTTCCACTGTTCAAAATGCCTCTGCAAAGTCACTGGGGTTTTCTTTTGAACAGTCTCAGGAGCAACCGCCCGCAACGACACAGTTCATTCACGGCGTGGACATCTCGTTCAACCACATCGCGGTCCGCGGGACCGCCCTCGCGTCGCCAATGACTGGGTGAAGCACTGGTCGAGAACGAGTACAGACTACCAACTCACGAAACCGCGAGCCTTGCAGGACGACTCCAGTTGTGAGGAGGCGTTGATGGGCAAGTCGCACGCTGCTGCGTTGCGACCATTCTTCCACAAAGCCCGACTTTCCGGGCTATGGCGCTTCAAAGGCTCTCTTCAATACGGCATCGGGCCCATCCATGGAGCTTAAATCATGCTGCTCCTCGAGTGCTTCGCTTCGTCCCGAGCCCGCTCAGTCCTCTACGCTGACGCTTTCTTCAATCTCTTTGACAAGGCGTGGAAAACCGGACAAGCCCGAAACGCTTGCCAATGGCTGGGGCTTTGTCGTCACGGTGCATCGGCTGACCTACGACGTTCACGGACAAGTTCCCTATATCCTGCTTTGTGAGGGAGTTCTCCAGCCGCCGCGCGTACATCTACCTGCTGGAGGTCGTCGCTCAGATAGTGCAGCTGTTAGCTTTGAAGGACGTTCTTCACCGACATGTCGTCATGTTCGTTGACAATGAGCCCGCCCGCCACGCTCTCTACAATGGCTTCGGCAAAGATGACTCGATCAACTGCCTCCTACAGCACCGTTGGCGATACATCGAGTCTCAGTCGCTGCGCCCGGCCTGGCGACGTCAGCGGCGCAGTGAGGTGCGGAGACCTTTGCCACGCTCGATCTGAAGGTTGGACTCGGGACTGGGGCGTCCTCTTCCAGGAGCTACTGAGGGTCTGTGAGAGCTTTCGGGCTACCGGTGCGCTTTAATGGTGCAGGCGGCACACCTATGGTGATTCGCACCATCGATCGCGTCTGAAACCTTTTCGATTCGATGTGCGAGACCGGTTGCATTTCGGCGATATATACGTACGCACGTACGTACATACATACATACATACCTATGTGGCAATTTGGGAAACTTCAAATTTGCCTTATGGTTTCTCTACTGCCGCTACGAATCTACGAATGTTCAGTCCTGCGTCCAAGCGAGATGTCGTGTAGGTGCAACTTGTTGCAGGGAATGACATGTACGAGCGACAGCTGGAGACTCCGCATCTGCTGCCCGCTCGAACTCTGAAGCTTTTCTGAAACCCCGCCAACACCGCCGTTTATATATTTGCATGTTATTGGAGTGGTGGGGTGATTCGCACAGCCTCGCATCCATCGCGTCTGAGACGTTTTCGGTTCGATGTGCGAGACCGGTTGCATTTCGTCGCCTGCCGCTACGCATCCAAAAGTGTTCAGTTTTGCACGAAAGTCAGATGTCAGGGCTGGAGGCCCACGAACCTAAGCACAGCATGCATGGCGAAACCGACATCAATGAAGGCTCCTTGCTGCCGCCAGCTTGACCCTTCCGATTCAGCGAGGTGCATCCGGGGTGCATGCCATGTTTAGTCGGTGTCTGGTGCGCAGCACAATCAGTTTTTCGTTCAGGACGATTTGCAGAAGCCGACAGCTTTATTAGAAGTTGCCAATGGATGCAATGCTGCAGGTCTGGATATTGGTGCTCGGGGACACAGAAACATCTGGCTGGTGCAGAGGTAAGTTTTGGCCGGCGAATCGGAGGTCCCTGTTTGCACTCCGAGAATCTCTGAGATCTCACAGAATCCCTCGGCACAGCAGCGACCCGAGTCCGAGGCTGGCGCTGGCGGCGTGTCGGAGCCCCTTCGCGAAGTTTGCAGGAGCGACATGGGTTTGCCGCGGGTTTGCTGTAAGGTTGACCCACTCGAGCGCGGTCGTGAAAGGTCCTTGATCGCAGTGGAAACGTCCAGGGCCATGGCTCGGACCTTAAGGCAAAGGACAAAGGGGCCCGTCACCCAGTTTGCTTGCGCCACCTTTCGCTCGTGGCTGTAGGAACCGCGGCCGCGAGACATGGTGTGAGGATCTGGCAGTCACAGCAGCCGCCATGTTCTCAGAGCCTCGCAAGCTGGCACGGACACAAAGCTGTTGGAATGTGACAGTGACAAGCGAGTCCTTGGTGGGGTCCGAAGGAAAGGCTCCAAACTTTTGTGGGCCAGATAGGCAGAACTCGACCAATAGCATTGCAAGAGAGGCACGGCAAGCCGAGGGCGGTGCGCCCAGAGTGTTGAGATGTGCTCGCGGTGTGCTCACGGGCTGTCGTGGTTGGGAAAGGATAGGGTCCTGGCAGTTTCAGACTGGATAGAGTTAGTGGTCAGTGTGTTTGGCGGTTGCATGATGCGGGCCGGACGATGCGGGCGAGGGTTAAGTTGATGAGCATCGCTACTTGATCCCTTCACATGCTGTCAAGGGGAGGAGTTTCAGCTGGTGGCTTTGCTCAATGTCCTTGACCGCTGTGCAAAGCCGAGGTGGGCTAGAAAGATGGATGCTGTTCGTGTGCATGTTCGCTGCCCACTATTTTGGCAATACTACGAGCAAGCTACAATCATTATTACTGCGCAGCGCCCCAGTATTTATGCATAAACCTCGGAAAGCTGCGGGGTACTGCAGCGTGCCATGCTCAGTTCAAGTTCTCTGCATAAACTCAGCCACGACCTGCTGTGAGAGCATTCTTCTTACATGCTGCATTTGTGGTCTGAGTCTTTGCGACCCAGAAGTTCAATATATAGCCTGGACATTCTGAAAGCGGTTCGATTCGACTTCTTCGCACTGGCGGCAGTGACTTGGTAGGAGCCTCTTGGCAGCTGCACGGCTGCTTATGCCTCGAGGCTCGTGGCCGCGGCCTCATCACTTCTTCGAAATTGCATACTGTTCATATTCCGGCTCGTCCTGGTCGACAGTCGACAAGCGTTTTGTTTGGATTGAGGAGCGTGCGCACTTGTTGGTTCAGTATTCAGGCCGCGCTTGAGACTAAGAGGCTTTACAAGCTTTGTAGTTAGTTGTTTCATGAACCTCAGGCTTTTGCTTGCCACGCCACTGCCATTCCATGGCGCCTTCTACGGTTGGAGGTTGGTGTGATGTACTCGTACATCATGCGGCATCATACCAAAAGCCCCTCGGTTGGTGCCGAACATGCAATGTCCCGACAGCCGCTCTGCTTTTCTAGCTTGCTGCACGTGCCAGGACAGCCTGGACGGGATGGCAAGTGGAGACTCTGGCTCTCGGTGCAGAGGTGCGGTCTGTGAGGGTCGTGGATCATGGAGGCATCAGGACTTGATTTGGATCAGTTTCGGCAGGGTGAAGTCCGGCCGAACCTGCGCAGTAGTCCGAAGCGTAAGCAATTTCGGAGCTCGGAGGCCCAACCCTTGAATCTTCTCTCGAAGAGCCGAGCCGAAACGCCAGGCATCCTGGGCAGGCGCACAGGGGGCACCTTCGTGCGTGCTTCAGGGGGCCTAGAGTCGGGCTTTAGGGATTCGGTTTGCGCCTGTCAGGGTTTTCGAAATTTCTGGCGCGAGATAAGTGGACTCTGCAGCGTTGCTGGCGGCCTCAGCTTTGCTTGTGTGGTTGCGCACGTGTGCATCAAGTGACAAAACCCGTTGGACGATGTTACCTCTCGAGTTTGCCGGTGCGGGCAGCAGCTTTGTCAAGTAGCGTTTCCACGCGCAGCCATGGCTGGTTTAGGGACCGACCCGGTCGAGAGCCGCCCAGATGAGCATAGCTGGGGTGAAACCCGTCCGGATGCAGTATCCTCGCAAAGTGGAACAGTGGAAGACGCTGCTGAGTCTCGGTCGGAGCCTTTTGCCGCGGTGGTGCTGGCTGCCCTACGTGTGCTCATGGACTGGACGCGTCCGAGGATGCTTTGATGGACAGTGTTGAGGCGTGCAGGCCTTCTAAGGCTAAGGCCACCCCGGCTTTTACCTTTACGCCGGCTACCAGTCAGCGCGCAGCGCGGCAAAGCAGCCGCCCTCTTTCGTGTACTTGCCCGGTCGCGAAGGGCGCACACAGAGTATGGAGTGGCGAGCCGAAGGCCAAGCCGTTGCCGGTCACCCCCGCGGTGCTCCCGGCCGGGCACGCAGATCCCGAACGTGGCGCCAGATTGGGGGCCGGTTGCCACCCAACCCCCGCCGTACTGGCGCATGACTAGTCAGTGCCGTGTTCGGTGCCCTCAGTGTGGATGGAGAAGGGAGGGCCGCAGAAGGCCTCGCTCGAGGCACTTATGTTCGCCGCGCAAGGACCTGCAGCAGTGAGGCCATGGACTTCGTTCGCGGCCAACCACTTCTATCGAGCTTGGTGGCACTCCGGTTCGGCGTCTTCTACTTGTCGCCGCTGTAGCAGGCATACGTCAAGGGTCCGGGGGTCCGGACGATCGAATGCCGTAGGCACAAAGTTTGGCACTCGTTCGTCGTTGTCCCTTGCAAAAATTCGCTTCGTGCGGTTTCTTCAGGGCTTTCGTTGAAACCTCGGTTCCCTTTGCCCCACCTCTGTGCGTCGCACGTGCTGGGTGGGCCCTTCCCCCTTTGTTGCTTCGTTCGCTTGCTTGATTGCAGGATTGTTCGTTTCAGGTTCAGGGCACCCGCACCACCCCCCGCCACCTAGTCCGGCCATGCACATTAGTTCGCAAGTGCTGCTGGGGGTGGGGTTTGGGGAGGAGTTCAAGGATTTTTTCGGTCGGCGTGTGTGTTGCGTCTGGCGTTCCGGTTCGGAGCCGAGCAGCTATAGCAGCTACTGTAGTCAGTGACTACGTTTGTTTTAGCAGAGCGGCAGCTCCAAGTGCAGCAGATACTGCAGCAAGTTTCGTGGTGTCCCGGCAGGGAATCTTGCTCGAGCCGACAGAGGCGTTGGTCGCTGTTTTCGCCGTGCTCGCTGCCCCTTCGGGTCGCTGGTTCAGCTGCTTACAGCAATCGGTGCAGCTGACAAGCTCGAAGACCTGTGGGCGGCAGGCATAAATTCAGCCGCGACGTTGCCGGCAGCGCTTTGCTCGCAACTCAGCAGCACAACTCCACCATTTGGTCACCGACAGTCCGTCCTACGCTGGCGCAGACACCTTAGACAGCTGCATCCAAGCAGCTGGGAGGCCACAGTCAACGCTCCTCAGTGCCGTGGATGACGAGGGCGCTTACCCTTCGCTCCCGGTTAGGGACCCGTCCGAATTTGGAGTCATCATGCCAGTCGACGGTGAGCAAGCACTGTTGTACCACAACAGCCTCCCTTTCGGCAGCATGGAGTGTATGGTCGTATGTCCGTGCGCTGTCCTTGGTGGCAGTATCCTTACTGATAGTACCGTCAGCCCACTTCGTTGATGACGTTTACGATTACCAGTTCAATGATTCCGAGATGGCTCAGTCAGTTCGTTGGCCGAAGTTGCACTGCCGCCAGCACTTCGTGTCAGTTTTTCACTGTTGGTTGAGCTTCGGCCGGCTCTCAAGCCACACTTCTTGCCTAGCATCTTTCGTTCTGTGGAGATGAATATTGGCCGCCTTTATGATGCAGACGCTTTCATCACTATGCATGGCGTTCGGCAGTGTGCCAGCAGGTGGATGGACGACAACGCAGCTCTGCAGCACTTGCGTGGGTCCACCAACGGCTGGGAGCGATTTACTTGGGCCCCTCAGGATCCCGCCGGAGCTTTAAAGCACAGGTCCCAGAACACGTGCGCCACTGCTGCTCTTCGCGAGATTACATGCATTGGCTGGAGTCGATAACACATTTGATCTCCATCGCTGATTGCCCGTGACCGCTTCGATTTCCATGTGTGCTTCGTGGACAACACTGCCGTTGAGCATGCCCTCAACAAACTGATTGTCAAAAATCCAGCATTGTGTTGGTTGATTTTTTTGTTTGTGGGTGGCCAAGCAGGTCTTGTTCGTGAGCTTTCAACGAATTACCTGTCAGGCGAATCTCTGCGATAAGGTGTCTCGAGGAGTTTTTTCGGAAGCGGATCGCGAGTTTGCCGGTGTGGCAGCAATTTTTTCAAGTCCCGCCTGACCTGCCGTGACGACGTACCGGTCCGAACAGCGGTGTGTTCGAGTGCGCCGTTTACAACGGTTCTGTTGCTCCAACCCGTTCGTTCGCAGACAAAACGCCAGCACAGTCGAGCAGGTCGACGCGAACAAAAAGAACCACGACCATGTTTGCCTGCTAGCAGTACAGCGTAGTTTGGCGTTTTGTCTGGGCTGGTCGTGATGCTGACGCACGTGAGCGACACAAGCATCTGAAATTTTGATTCACTTGTACTGAGTCAGCTGCAAGAGTTTACGAAAATATATTTGGTCTACCGACACCGCCTCGAAGGATGACCAAAGTAGAATCGCAGGTCAAGCGCAGCATCTGATCCAGGAGGTGCTGCCGCAAGAAGGCTGGAAGACATGGTGCATGATGTTCGGAGATATCCCGAGGGTGAGTGCATTCAGTTTCGGGCACGCGGCAGACAAAGTCTGCGAACGTTAAACGAACCCTTTGTTTTTGAGTCGCTCCTAGTCTTGTCGAAGCATCCACGCCAACTGCTTGTGGCTGGCACGGAGGCTTTGAGCCTGTTGTTCTTTCACGGCTTCCATACCTTTGTGCTGGAGATGCCTAGTGCCCAGACCGGGCCGATTCGGCCGATTCTCGGTGGTCATTGACACGTCCCTGAGGCCTTCGTAGCCTTCTCCGAGCTGGATGACCTGATTGTTCTGGCCAGGAAAATGTAAGGCTCCAGTTTGGGAGAAAACAAGTGCAGTAGCATGCTTTCAAGAGGGGAGTTGTGAGACTATGCTTTCCGCACGCCACAGCAGGTTCGCAAGAATTTCGACACGATGCTTACGCTTATGACGTTGTGTTATGGCCATGCGTGATTAACAGCACAGGCCATATTCCCAAGAAACACGATGCGGATGGGTGGGTTCCACATTATTCCACATTTTCACACGGCGAAGCCAACAGCTTGTACATGTCCGCAGCTGGACCTGGCGACGAAACGTTCCAGGCCCTAGCCCGTGCCATGAATCGCTCCTCGCTCCGGCCGCCCGCAGCATTAGCTTCGAAGTGTCCGATGAAGTACTTTCACGCCGGTGCTAGAAATGACTCAGGGTCGGGCTGCAGACATCAGGAGTCTTCCGTTTGTCTGAGCACTCGCAATCATGGGTGATTCGTTGGAGCATGTCGCAAAGGTGCAGTCTGCGATCAGCTGCGATCAGCCTAGCTTAATCCTTAGAAGTCCATGCGTCATCATCCTGAGCAGCATTTTGCGGCAGCCATGCCGTCCCCAGGGATCCTAGGCTGGCACGATGCGCCTACTACTTTCATGAACATGTCGGATCCTGTGCAGGTGGCTACGACCCTCAGCTCGGAGGCGCAGTAGCTGCCAACACATGTATGGGGTTGCTCCAAGTCGCCCCTGTAATTTGTTATAGTGATACCGGCATTTTTTTTGTTTTGCCCACGGCGAGTAGTAGTTCGCTGCAGTCCCAAAAAGAACGCAGGCTACACCCACCAGATCAACGTCGATGCCTGAGTTCGGAGCACCGCTTGGCCGTGGACGGCGAAATTCCTCTGAGGTGGCGGCTCCAAGCCTGGGAGTGCCAGGCCTTCAGGCTCCGCAGGCGCCGGAAGTGACGGTCGTAGCATACTCCCGGATGAAGCCGGACATCGAAGATGAAACCTAAAAGCTAGAGCCTTCTACACTGAGAGGGCCTCCAGATGCCTCCACCTTTGCCACTGGCATCGCCTCTTGCCACTCGGAGTTGCAATTGGGGTGGCTGTGATAGACCTTTTATTATACGTTCTGCTGATTAAGAAACGCCGGAGCCAAGCCGCCGACTTCCGACACGCAGTTGCTTCGAAGGGGGCTGTCTCCCAAGGCCGTACCCTCCCTGGATGTGAGCCTGGATCCTGCATCCCCAGAGCAGCTGTAGCGTGGCAACGGATTAACAGGTTGACACGGGGTTCGGCTTGCAACTTTACGTTCTATGCGGTTGGGGGTCGAGCTCAGGAGTCCAGGTCATGTTGTTGGTCCAGTTTTCGGTGCCATGTGCATATGCACGCACCCGCCGCGCGTGCGTGCTCGCTGTGTGTGTGTGTGTCCGCGGGTTTGAGTGCGTGCTGGTACCTTCGTGAAAACTCGCAACACATTTTGATCTCGAAGTCCAAGTAGGTCGTATCAGGCACCGCGAAACACAGCGCACGTGGAAGAAGTGCAATGTCATTGCACGGAATCCAGCACACCCTGTGCAACAAGACTGTTTCTTCATTTCTTCGTACAGATTACTACGCTACGAGTCAACACGTGTCCCGAACTCTTCAGCTGTTGTTTCAAGTCGGCATGGTCTCTGCTAGGACGTGTCTTGCCGTTTGGATGCTTCTGCTGAATTCGATTTTCGAAGACCCTGCATCAGCTTTGCCAGGAATGATCTTGCAGCCAAGGGGAAGCAGCTGGAGGCTAGAAAAGCTCCCAGCCTTCGTGGACAGCTCACGTGAAAGAGTTCCTGCTTTCTGCAAGAGGGCTCTCACTATCAGATTCTGGACTTGCTAGGAGTTTCTTTTCCATTAACGAAGAGAGGCCCTACAGAACTACTACGCCTCTTTGCAGCAGACGCTGCAAGCTGAGCGTGAGTGTGCTGGGGACCCGGCCGTTTGACTGTACACATGAGCTTGAGAGAAGACTTTTGAGATCTCCCTTGATCGAACTGAGGCTTCCGGCTCCTGCGACAAGGTGTTAATGAAGCTCCGGGAAGAGGTGCGAAATTGGGAACTTTGTTTGCTTAAGTGCGGAACGTGGTTTGGAGGCTCAACTGCACCCGTTTGCCAAAGTTGCCATCAGGCTTGCACTCCATGATGTGGAAGCTGCCGCATGTAACAACGAAAGCGACGGCAGATCTTCCGCGGCAACACAGCCCATTGTGACTGTGGTGCTTCGTTGCCGTCATTTACATGGACTTTTTTTTGTCTTTCTGCTATGCCTAAGCAAACTGTTGCAGCTTCTGCTGATTATTAGGATACATATGTCATTGGGGGTGTCTGCAGTTGAGCTTCGACTGCCCACAGGTGGCAGGCCTATCGCCGAGCCTGGTGGCCTTATCTGCCCGATGCTTGGAGGGATGGGAGGGTCTTCACTGTCGAGGGCTGGCTGAGTCTCTAAAGACTTCACGGTCGAAGGCACGCGGGGCTAAACTGCCCACCTCCCCTTCATCGAAACAAGTTGAAGCTCCCCACGATCCAGGAGAATGTGACGCAGTCGAGTCAGCTGGCACAGGATATTCACAGGCCGACTCCTCGCCTCTGCAACGAGAGGGAGTGCGACAGCTCTCAGGGATTTGAGCGGGATCTAAGAGAGCCACCATTCACCAAAGGCCTTCGCAAGGTAGCAAAAGAAGATGTCACTGATCGAAGCACCAAGCACCGCATTGCTTCTCCAGGTGGTTCGTGGCGAATGGTCCTCGAATACGTGGATACCAGGCAGGCGATTTGGGTGACTTCGTTTCTTCATCTTTGTTTCTCATCTACCGTTATACCCATTTCCTGCTTTTGGTAATGGTACAAGCATGCTCACCTTGATTCTTTTCCGGGCAGAGCCTTTAAGAATCGTCTGCTATAGTTCATGTACCAGACACGAGGTTGAGAGAGGCTTGCCTGCAAACTTGTAGACTCCAGAGAATTGCGAGGAGTCAACGGACCCGAGCGGCTGGCTCGCAGAAGATACCAAGGAGCTGCTTCAGAAGGCAGAAGTAGTCAAAGGTAGGTATGCGTGGCATGCCCCTCCCGAAGTTGGCCCGAACCTAGCCCCCAAAGGTGGACTCGCTTGGACTTCGGTGGAAGCAGCTGCAGGCTTGCAAGCACTCTTGGGAGCACTCCCGAGCCTGGGGGGGTGTCCGTGAGGCGGTGGCCTTCAGTGAGCTCTCGCCCAGTCGCGTCGTGGAGGTCGGGCCTCTTGTGAGCTTCCCGAGTTCCAACTTTCCCCCGCTTCGTCGAAGCCATCGTCTCCGTTGGCTTGAAAAGCTTGCAGGCCAATCAGGCCAATGTCTTGTTATTGTTTGCCGATCCAGAGATTTAAATGCATCGTGAATAAGCGCGACTTTCTCTCTGTCTGCTTGCGTCTTTGTCTCAGCAGGTTCCCACAGCTGCTTCCACAACCGCAACCGCCTCAACTAGCGCTTTGGAGGCAAAGCAGGTTCTTTCTGGGACGAGATTGTCGGGCTTCGAAGCTGCAACGTCAGCATGAGGCTATTACAATATCCGATGAAAAGGTTTCTTGGTGCTGAGGCTACCTCTCACCCACTGCAGGTTGCAAGAGTGCAACTCTTCAAAGAGGCATGAGACTGAGAACCACCTTTGACTGTGTCAAAGCCCAGGGTTCTGCCCCTCCGGCCATGCGATGTCCGTATTCACGGCCGCCAAGGCACGTGCGGCCCGCGCAATAATCCGAATAAAAGACAGCTCCATCCACACATAGACCAAATACGGACTGCATAGGACAAGTAGCTAACACAAGAAACACTGTAACACACATTGGAGTTGGAGTTCAAACTACTCGGAACTACTAGACACCATAACGGAATTTTACAACAACACATAGAGCCAAAATAGAGCACGAAGTGGACAGTGTAAAACATCAAGCCACCCAAGCTCTCAATCCTAGGTCGTCTAAGCCCATGTTGCCCACTCTCAATCTTCAAACTGAATCAATCGCTAGACAACCCGTTTCTGGATTGGAAATTATGCTCACTTCCATACATGCGAAAGCTGAAGATCCTTGCCCAATCCCAATGCAGCAGGCGGTTTGTATGAGTCTTTAGCACGATGGGTACCGAGATCCTCCTTGTCACTGGCCTGCCCGGGCTGGGAGCGGCTTGCCGGGGCACGTCGGGGCTTCTCGCAGGACGGTGCTACCTGCCAGATCTGCGGCGCCCTGCACGCGCCTGGCACTTCGGCTATGAGTGGTGCATGGTCCAATTGGCCTCGAGCGAAGGCCATGCCAGCGCGAGATGTGGAAGATATGGAAAGATGCCTAAATCAATAGTAGGCAGTCGCGGCCCGTTCGTGTATATAAATGGAATAGTAGAACCGCGTTAGAAGAATGTTATGCAGCAACATCTGCATCAAACATCGATTGCAGACGCACACTCTCAGCTCCTGTGCCACAGTGGCGTGACCTTCTGCTGCATCTGAGGTGCAACAATGTGCAACAGGCATGATAGGTGTAGTCAAACGCATTGCTTCGTTTCGGAAATTGTGTTGCAGTCCATTACAGTCCAAGGCAGCGTGCTGATGAGATGCTTGGGGCCAAGGGCAGAACTGCACTGCTGTTGGGTGCCGGGAGGCAAGCATGGATGTCACAGTGGGGCCTCACCTGCTCTCCTGAGGTGATCTGTGCGGGCACGAGGCCTGCATGGGCTGCACCGCGAAGGCGGCAGACCTCCAGGCCTCCGGCATCCATGCGACAGGGCTCGACAGGGCTGGACACGCTGACGGAAGAGATCGAGATTCGGCTTCGCTTGGGCGCAGGTTAGCGCGAGCCCTCTGCCAGCAGCACGTGCCCAACTCAGGGCTCCTTCCAGCCTTCAGGATATCCAGGCCGAAGGAAGAGGTAGCGGAAGCGTTCTGTCCTTTCTGCACTGCACCGTGCAGAAGCAACTGCCTATGCCATTCGACTGGGCTTGTCGAGTCTGGTCAGTCTTTTTGAAGCTGTCGTTGGATGTGGTTGGCTTGGCTTTGGGTGGGCTGTCGGGTCCCAAGGCGACCGGCCAAAGCAGCCGGAGACCATCCCGGAGGTAGCTTCCACTGACGAAAGCTGTAGGCGATCGCAGGCGACCTCCGTGGGCCCTGCCAGGACCTGCCCGTATCGGTGGACTGCGGCACGCCGGTTGGCACGCCCATGGCGGAGCCCTCGGAAGAGGAGACGGGCCAGCCCGGTGCTCGGTACTCTGTGAAAGCCACCAATGTGACTGGATCTTTCGGCCTTTGCGCATGCTCAGGCCACAGTTCACGAGCTTCCACATCAGAAGATGATTAAAAGCGACGGCAAAACAGCAACGGCATGCGTATGCATGCTCGGCATAGTCTCCGGGCATGGTGGTGCCCATCGCATTTCTGTGCAGGCCGTGTGGACGTGTAATGGCCGGTGCAGTGATATAGACTTCACTTTGTGGAAGGCTTGCTTCCTGAGGTTCCCTGTTCAGACTTGTGCAGTGATGCTCCTGTGTATCTGCGTTGATCTGTCTTGCAATATGATGACTGGTGATGATTGTAGCTGTCATCGGCTCAACCATGACCTTTCTCACCAGAGTCGAGTCCATCGAGGCCATCAGCCCAAGCCCGATGTGTGCGGCGACATGGCTTCCGAGAAGGCCAGTGGCAACAACAGCCTTGTGCAGGGCACTGCAGGGCAGAGCAGAGTCGGCGCACATTTCAGGAGGAGTTCTTCCTCACCATCGGCCCCGGTGGGCCGGTCGGGCGCTAAGGGGGCGTGCATGCGACTTCCACATCAACTCTTCGCGGCCGTTAGGCCCTGCCTTGTTGAATTATGCGATCTGCCGAGGCAATGCACCGCCTGGTCCACGAGGAGCATGTTCGTTTCAACATCTGTTCGATCGACACGTCAGGTTTGTCATATCCGAGGTTCGGTTTGCAGAAGTCCGAAATCCAAGCTTCCTATGGGCTTGGCGGAGTCAAATCACTTTCTGCACAGTCAGACCGGTCCCCTTTGCACCAGGAGTTGGGGCTCCTCAGTGCAGTTGCCGTGGAGCGTTTTGGGCAGGCGGCCAGGCATGTGCATGTCATGATTGCCGCAGGCATCGGCCAGTGTTCAGAACTTCGGGAGCAGAGCCGAGGGCAGACACGGAAGGACCCCGATGCAGGCGCGCTTCTTCTTCTCGGCACCGCTGGAGCCTGTGCAGCGCTTCTTCAGGCCATTCTGATGCAGACCAGGTTGTACATCCCACTTGCTAGCGCTATTCTGACAGAGAAATATGTGTATTTCGCTGTTGCTGAAATCTTGAAGACTGATTGCCAGCCTCCGTGCGCCGGAGAAGCTCTATGTTCTCGCTCTGCGTTTCGAGAGTGCCTCGCTGCAGTCCCTTGGCTTCGGTTTAGACCTGCCAGCTTCGGCACCAAATCATGAGAGGTCCCAGGACAGAACCCCAGCCCCAGCGAGATGTCCCATTTTCCGACCTAGGCAAGGGTCCGAAGGGTGAGACCGGGTTTTCGGCTTTGGAATCATGGCAATGAGAGGGCAATGACAGGACTTCAGGTCTCCAAGCAGCTCAGGTGGCCTCCGGAGAGGGAGGCTGCGGAGTCTGCACTGGCACAGCTCGTTGCAGCTGCGGACTGGGCCAAGGTGACCGTTTTTCGATAGGAGGGACATGTCCAGTGATATGAAGGCTGCTGCAGAGTTCGCTGACACGAGCTCCCAGACTTGCCTCCAAAAAGACAGAGTCTCCTTACGGCAACACTCCCCGCAGGCTTTGCGGGTTTGGCGTCGCTTCTCGCCGGACCGCGAGGCCATGGCGCAGTGGATGTTGCCAAATACGCTGCTGGCCTTGCCATCTGTACTACTTGTAGCACGACTTAAGTTTTCCGTGGTTTGTCTCAGCTCGATGTTTCCTACATGCAATGCCCATTGTTCCTTTGAGGATAATCTTCCGATTTCATGTCGACTCTTCGATGATGGGATATCTTATAACTGGCTGGATCGTGTGCTTGTGAGTTGCAGAGGTAGAAACAGGCCAGCTTGGTGCATTGCATACTACAGTCTACTACATGTCTACTACCTAGTATACGGTAAAGCAGATGGGACCATGCTCCGGATCATCTCGCGCGGCTGCGTGCCGTGTAGGAACATATTTTGCCATGTCGTTCGATGACAGTCTCGATGACGTTATCTTGTCGCGACCGGGTTAGTGCTGCTACCACCACTGACTTGCTCGGATAATTTTGTATATTCTTCTGCTGCTGTGTTCCTGCGAACTCAGTATGCCGCGGCGCGTGAGATGCATATTCTTCATCATAACAGCCTGTCGTTCAAGATTTGCTGTGGTCAAACGCTGCGGTTCTTCTTGCAATCCTGTGCTTTCTGTCGCTCTGTGTTGTTGCGCTCTGTTGCAATAAGTTCAACTCTTATGCATGCTGGCATATGTGATAAAATTATTGCAATGCTTTGTATTTCATTACCATCTGCTGTGGACTGTGGTTTGCTTTCTTCCAGCCACTACTTATGTTTGTTGGCATGTGCTTACCTTTTGACGGTCTTAAGCTGTAACTAAGCCTGTGCAGGACTGTATCATACCTGCCCAGCGCCATACTGTGCTACTTAGTCTCTTATCTTGGCTGATACCATGTTGCTGCCTTGAGGCGGACCCTGCACGTCGTTAAAGTCAGCCGTATGGTTTTTGGCAGAAACCCTTGCACTGGTTTCTGTGCTGTGCCTGTCACACTATGTTAGTCGACACAGTGCAGGTTGGCTTGTTAGTCTGCTATTCTCCGTAGTTCGTCCTGCTGATGAACAGCTGAAGGAACGTCCTTGCGGATTCGGCACAGCGCTGTGCTCTGCCTCAAGCCCTCCGTTCACAAGACGACAGGCGCTCCCCCGCAGCTTCCGTGTGACCGGCAAGCGTGCTGGGCAACGAGGGTCTCAGCTTAGTCTGGAGCCCAGAGCCAAGGTCCAACGCCTGTGCCAAAATCGTGTCAGAGCAGTGCGGATTGTCGCAAGCATACTGCACGGAAGAGTCGCCAAACAACAAGGTTCAAACGGCATAGCTGAGTTCGTCGGCGAGGCAGCTGTGGGCCATGGTGGCCTTGAGTTTGAAAGTGTTGGCTTTTTTCTGTGTTGCTTTAGTTCTTTCGTCATATGTAGCCTCCCTCTTCTGTGAAGCAATAAACCCCCAGCAGTGGCGAGCCCAAGCATACAGGTCAAGCTTCTCACATGCATGATCATGCATGCAAGGCGATTTTTTTCGAAGGAATGCGTGACGCCCTGTAGCTGTAGGAACATGCAGTCTTTTCTGGGGCGAGCATCTCTGGCTGTGTTGGCTCTGGAGCATTTCTGCTCAGCTCAAAGGTTCTGCATCGTCTTCCTGCAACAAAGACCGCGAACTGCTGTGCTTAAGGGAAGGGGCGGTACGGGGTGAGCAAGCAGGGGATTTCAGTGGTAAACCTTTGATTGCTTCAAGCCCTGAGGACTGTCAAACCAAGGGTTACAGTAGGCACACTTAATGATATGTAGCACTGTGAGACGTCCCTGGTTTGCCAGGCACTGACCGAGACCATGGGCTGGCAGGTGGACCTGCGTGACTACGATTTGGAGGCCGTGCGGAAAGTTTGCACTCTTGCAGTGCCGAATTCGCCTGGTCATAGCAATTTCAACATTGTGGTGTGTGTGATGACACTCTAGCTTGGACTGGCTTGCTACGGTCTCTGCGAACTTGGTCTAAATGAATTGAAGATGGGCAGGTTGTGGTGCATTTGAACGATGAGCATCTGATCGTGACTCGGTCGCAAGCGTTCGTGATTAAAAATTCATGAAAATTCACGATTGTTTGGGAATGACATCATCATCATCATCATCATCTTCCGACATGTAGCATGGCATAGAGTGTGATTGGTTGTCACAGTCATTTCCCGTCGTTGTTGCTGTCTGAGCGCTGCCAATACATGTTCGGTGCAGTCTGCACTGCAAGTAGATGCGCGAGGTTTGCTTGCCGCTTCTGGAACGCGGGGAGGCTCAACAGGTTGCGTCCTCGTCACGACGACAGGAGAAATGGGGTCAGGGCAGGCAGAGAGAGGTGCAAGGAGATAAACAGGAAAATGAATAGCGCCCAGTGCCGGACATAGTCAGATCGACGATATGTTTTGTGAGGCACAATTTGCGCTGCCGGGTCTTTCTCAGCCGGTCGCCTGGGCCATGGCAAGGACACCATGACATCATACGTGGGCACAGGTGCAGCCATTAGAATGCCAAGTGACACCAGCCATGGATCCCACAGCACTCGCCGCAAGGGGAGCAGTTCAGAAGAACTCACAAGTCGAAAGCACGGCAACTCTGCACTGCTCAGTTTCAGCATGTTGGTAGGAGTTGGCAGCACTGCCCATGTGGCCCGTGCTCGTTTGTGATGATGCTTGTGACTCTGAAGATGCATGAAATTGCGGAACAGCTTCGTGGTAGCTTGTGGGATTCGGGTTTTTGGTTTCCTTGTGATGGCTTGATATTGCAAGTGTCGTTCCAGCTGCAGTTAAGAAATACTCAATCCACATTCTCCAGGAGCGTCGAGCCCTTGGCAGGAGATGTCGTCGTCGACCCGAGCCGCGGCGGCAGAGTTTTCAGCTTGAGGGCGTCGCTGTCCAAGGCAGAACTTCAGGGTCATGGAAAGCTGTCTTAAGCGCACTGCAAGCAAGGATGTGCGGGTCTGGCATCGTGCTCTTCGAGGTGCGCTGTGTCGACCAGCCTTGGCAATCACAAGCAGCCATCGGGCAATCGATGGGCTTGCATGTCTGATCCCCAAATCCTTTCCTGCATCGCAGCATCCACGAAAAGCCCTGGCTTCGTCGGACCCCGAAGGCGGCGCAGTGCTGGCGGGGTGCGTGCTACCTCGGCTTTGACATGGATGCCTCACAGCTGGACACGCTTCCATTCCTGGGAATCTGAAGGCTTCGGCGGGTTTTCGGCATCTGTGATCAGAACAATGGAAATCTCATCGGCTTGGGTTTGGAGTCTAACTTGCAGCTGTAGAGCTGCAGCTGCGAAATGCCTTCTGACTGCCTCAGCCACCTTGCTCAAGCTGGTCCCCCCCCACACGACTGCAATATGCTGCAATGCTGCATCCTCGGCGAGCTGGGCCTTGACCCGCGAAGCCACTCCTCACGTGCCTGCAGCCCGGCTGTTCACTTTTGTGCTGAGAGGTCGTCAACATGGCGACAGCGCTTCTACATGGAGCCAGAGGAAAATCGAGTAAAGAAGGCGCAGCTGCATGTCTAGAAGGCTGAGGAGCCGTGACTGCTGGAACAAGATTTCAGACCTAGTGTTGGAACTGCCAGTTCCCGAAGAAGAAAAACGTTCACGTCCTGGCCTCGGGAGTTTGGCCACAGCCTGACTCGGAGTTGGACCTGACTGCTTCTTCGTCACACTCCTATCCTTACAAGTTGTGTGCAGCAGCATCTTTGGCTGCTTGACTTGCCCAGATCCTGGCCGTTTGCCTGGACTACAAGGGAACCGAGCCCTGGCTGCTGTGGTGGTTGAAACGCTCTGTGCCCATTGAACATATTATGGCTTCTCACTAAGGAATCTCCTCTCAGCTGCATTGTGGATGGCGATCGCATCTGTGAGCTAGCTGCGCAATCGGGCGTCGAGGACATCGTCAAGATGTCGCTCGCCTCCCTCGAGAAACATCATGGAATGGAATAACATGCCCATGACCTGCAGCATGAAGTGTTTTATTGGCCTCGGCCAAGACGTGCAAATCGCACCCAGAATGATCAGTAGGCCATGGCTACGGGACTGCAGGTATGACGACGGCTCAACAGAAAGCTTCCCTTCTGTCGAAGAGTTGAAGGCCCAGGCACCTCGAAGCGTCTTGGGAATCTCGCATGAGACGGGAGTCTCACTTTGGAGCCGATGAGGTGGCCACGATCTCCGAGCGGTGCAAGCCGGGTCATTACTTTGTCCTGGCACCGTGGCTGCAGTGGACTTTGCTTGTGCGAATGTCTAACATGATGTCGTGTCTTGCGCGTCACGCTCTGTCTTGATGTGCCATCTGGATCTTAGTCAGCAGGCAGTCTTCGTCTCATTCATCGTCATCCTCCTCGTCGTAGTAGGAGTAGTAATACGGTTCACCCCCCTGCGATGCCAAGACCAATCATTTTTATTTTTAGATTTTGTGTTGTCAGAAATGCAGTGTGTTACAGCGTTTTTCTAGTTTTTTGGAAGTTTGGAATGCGCATGGATTTTTGCTTGTTTTTTGCTGCTTGTTCAACGCTGCCCTTCATTCAATGGTTGTATTTACAGCACTCGTTTTTCAGATGTTCTTGTGCTTGTTTTTGGCTGCTTTTTGCGGTCCTGATTTTCATGCCCGACAACTTGCGATCAGAGTTTTTGGTGGTTTTGATGTTCATCACAAGCGTTTGGGAACAGGGCATCCATGCCCAAACCTAATGTCGTCCATGCACCACTGCAATTTGGGAACAGAGCATCCGCGCCCAAAGCCTAATGACGTCCATGGTCTAGTGCGATGTCGGAACAGAGCATCCGTGCCCTAAAGCTAATGACGTCCATGCTCCAGTGCAAGTTGGGAGCAGAGCATCCATGCTCAAAGCCTACTGACGCGGTGGCTAGTGCGGCTTGGGAACAGAGCACCCATGCCCAAAACCTAATGATGTCCATGGTCTAGTGCGATTGGGCCACAGAGCATCCATGGTTAAAACCTGATGATGTCAGCAGAACCCAGCAATGTTCAGGGTCAAAGTTATGTTACTCTCCTGATGAAAGTGATGATGAATTTTGATGGTGGTGGTAATGATGAGGATGCTGCTGATGAACATGACGCGACAGGCGCCACGCCAGGGGGGTGAAACCTAGTAGTAGTCGTCGTCGCCGTCGTCGTCGAAGCAGCCGCAGCATTAGCAGCAGCATCGCTGGAATCACAGCGGCAGCACCCGCAGTAGGGGGAGTAGAAGTATCAGTAGCAGTATCAGCAATGGGGGCAGCACTAGCAGCACTTGCGGAACCAACAGCAGCAACAGCAGCCGCAGCAGTATTAGTATAGTTGCGGTGGGTGTAGCGGAAGTGCTGTAGTAGTAGGACGAGCACGAGGACTTGTTTGAGGTTGTTATGGTGTTTTCTGGCAAAATCGCCCTGACTGACGTGAGGCATATTCCGGGCATGGCACCAACCAGGAGAATGAGGAGGAACAGGCCAGGACGTGGCTCAGATGGGCTCAGAGTGGAAACTCCATATCCTCCGCCCGACCGCAAAATGCCCAATGGGCCCAGCGAATACAACCCCATACAACCCATACTTGCAAAAGTCACCACTCCCAGTCATTAGGTAGAACGGTAGAACCACCCCGACTTTTGAGAATCCCAGCAGCTCATCTCTACTCAGCAAACTCATTGCCTGCAGCGCTAGTGTGAAAAGATCCCACGACCTGAGCTTCAGCATCCTACCGGAAAACGATGTCCTGTTGCGGGCTTCCTGGAGGGTGTACAGCCTCAGAGAGCTATCACATGTGATGATGCGCAGCTATTCACATTGCTTACCAGAGTCTGACCGGCATGTACACGGCTTGCATACAATACGTGATGCGGTGGGACCCCGACCGTACCGGCCAGAAGCCCCTAGAAGACCGTTCGGTGGAATGCCGTTTGGGACCCCCCAGGCCTAGGGCGGCAGCAAAGACCAGCTCATCCCACACGGACAATGGGGGTGGTACGGGCAGTCAGAGACACAGAGCGCCTTGGGACTCGGTCAGCTAACACGTGGCATATGTCGTGAGCTTTGAGCTTCCTTGCGAGGATGGTCTTGACAGTATCCTCTGCCTCCGCACTCGCGATGGAGAGGCGGGTGTGAGCTTGCGGGCTTCAAGGCATCTTTGGCCTCAGGATATCAGCGCTCCTTCAGCTGTGGCAATGAGGGTTTGGGGCTGGCACGAAGGGTGGAATCTCCACGGCTCGGTGTGCGCATGCTAGAGCAAATCAGAAGAATGCAAACCTTTGTTTAGCAAGCCACCAAGCCAGAACGACGACATGGTCGATGACGACCTTGCGAAGCTGATTGCTGAAGCTTTCGCAGCTGGACCCAAGTATTTATTCAAGGCTGGCGTTCGGTAGAAGTAGCGTACGTGTCCGTGCAAGAGAAAGCCTCCACTTCTCCCAGCTGCTCGAAGACATGGTTTGGATCGGATCGCACAGCTCCTGCTTCCCGTTTTCAGCTTGGGGAGCTTATGGTCCAAGTCGCTGTTGCCTCTAGCCCCGAATTCAGCAGTGCAGTGATGTGCAGTGCATTTAGGACCCTGCCGTCACGGTCCTCGTCCTGGCAGACGCATGCACGAGCCTCACATCAGGATCAGGGCCCGTCACCGAATGCTTGCCTAACAAAAGCTTCATTCTATGAGCCAGATGTCAGGCAACAGCGCAGGGGTTCTTGACTGCGACACACCCGGCATCTGGGGCAAGCGGCATGTGGTCGTCGCCTGTCACAAGTCTAACAAGTTCCTCCACTCCTCCACAGAGAAACTTTCTTCGCTCAGGCTCTCTCCGGATGCCAGAACGAGCAATGCTCCACAGACACTGGCAATGGAGGCACCAAGCAGCAAGAAAGGAGATATGTATGTGCCATCGGGTCTAGGGTGTCGAGCTCCAACGAATGTTTCAGCTATCAGGAACTCGGAACCTCCAGGTAGACTAGTTGCAGTTGTGAAGGCACTTGTCCCAGTGGGCATCGCTTTCTCACCTCATTGAGCCCTTCGATCAATTAGATCTCTTTTCTCACGATTTTTTCGGACCCCGAAACCAAGCTGGCTTCCGAATTCTACGTGTCCCAGAAATAACACACCCCAAAGCCGCTCTCCCCTCATGTCCGTGTGCCTTACTTACATGGGCAGTTCTGAGGCACCTCCGGCAAGTTGGGACCTTTAAATCGCTGTAAACTTCTCTGAGCCAGGTGCAATGACTAATGCCCTCTTGTTTCTTGGCTGAACCATTGCTGCATCTTGGAAGTCCCGTGGAGCAGTTGAATTCTTGAGGCAAGTGCTTGGCAACAAGAAGATTGCAAAGATGCGGAAGAAAGGAGGTGTTTCCATGCAGTGGCATTCTAAGTTCAGTCTTTGCAGGTTGTTGCAAAGCTCAGCTGTGTCTGCCTCGAACTCTAAGGTACATCTTCAACCGCATGGTTGAAGCAATGCCTGAAGACGAGGCCGTGCAACCACAAACTACAGAACGATTTGCTTGAGCTCATGGTTGAGGCTGAGGTAGACTATCGAAACGCAGAGCTGAAATTCGCTTAGGGCGGGAAAGCTTGGATTACGTCTCTCTGCAAGGAGGAAGAAGGAGAAGATGATGAAGAGTACGAAGAGGACCCTCCCCCCAAGCTGTGCCACACCGTTCAACAGTCAAACTGTGCAAATCTTGGCTTAGGAGTACGACGATGACGAGGAAGACTATTACGAAGAAGACGAGGCACGAAGGGTTGCCAGAGTGCACGTACTTGCATGGTCATGCGAGCAACTGTGTAGCAAGAGGATTTCTGCTCCGCAACAATCCTGGCAGGATGAGGACGTCGACCCCATTAGCGGCTGCTGCCTCGGGAGCTTTCGCCTGTGGTTGTCGGTAACGTGCCAATTTAAGATAAGTTGTCAGGACGTATGGTTCGAACAGTGCGTTCGTAGCTATCAATGGTTGGGAGAAAGGAGTTGATCGCTTCTTAAGCAGGGGGTAGGAGAAGAAAACTGCTGGTTGCAGACGCTTGCTCCAGTTGGGACTCTGCAACAGGAAGGGCAAGGATGTCGAGCAGGAGACCTACATTAATCACAGCTAGTGGGCTGCAGAAACGAGTTTGCTCAGCCACGAAGGCCAAGTCGCAAAAGCACACTCGCAAGTAATGCCTTGACCCACATGATAAGATGTGTGGGCGCCTTCATCTTGCAGCATCCAACTGCCTTGTGCAAGCCTGACAAAGGCGCTGAGAGAGACGTCACTACTCGCTCACTGTTACCTAGTGGACCTAGTGCAGAGTCATGCTTGTCTGATCTTGTCTGCCAGCAGTGAGATGCCTGTTGCCACAGCGCAGGTGAAGTCCCTGAGCCGGGTCAGAACATCAACATATCGTGGCCCGGGGGATGCGATCCAACGAAGATCGCTTTCCCGTTCTAGGTTCTGAGCTTCTAAGCTCGGCAAACGCCGCAAAGCTTTGGGCCTAGTGTTGTTCACACAAGTTTAACCTCCGAAGGGAGAGATGGCACACAGTGCAAGTTGCACAGAAGCTGCCGCATGCCGTCTTACGCAGCAGGAACATTGCAACGAGTTTAGCATTTGCTTGTGGCGAGCAGCTTGTGAGGGATGCCCGCTTACAGAGCGCAAGACGGAAGTTCTCCACCTTGTAGCAGCACTCTTTTCGCAAGCCAGCGCGACCGATCGATTTCACTCCACAAGGAGAATGTGTGCACGAAAATGCAGGAAGATATCACAGGCACTAGCCTTCACAAGATATGTTGCCCTGCATTTGACTACGTCCAACATCCCCGCCGCGGAACTGTGCCTGTGGAGCACCTGGGTTGCCTTTGTCGTGCCGATCATTCCTTGATATGAACCTCAAGCAGTATGATTTCACAGCTCTGGCCCAACCGCGTGACAATTCCTATGGCCGAAATGTTATACTTCTGAATGCCATACGCTTTGCTTTCAGGAGCGCTCCGGCGAGAATCTGGCAATGTTGGCTCCCGAAGTGGCTGCGAAGCTGCAGCTTTCGCGCTGGGCTGAAGGTTAAGCGACTTCTTGGTTCGGGACATTGAAGGCCCTAGACAGGCGAATCAGAGAAGAATGACTGTTTTGAAGCCATGCACTCTGGTAGCCGCCTTCAGAGATGCATACATCCTTCAAGAGGTTTGAAACAAAAGAGGCGAATTGAGTCGAACAAGGCTGCGAGCCTTGCTTTTGCGCGGGGCGATGCCCGCCGGCTGCCGTGGGATCCTCTGCGAAGATCTTGTCGGGGGGGGAAGAGGGCCGAAGGGCGTCGCTTTCTGGATACCCAGGTTCTGAGAAGCTCGTTTTGGGTGTGCTGGTGTCGTATTCCATGCTACTTGTACCAGTGTTATTAATTGCTATTGGCATTTGTTGTTTCTTGCTACGGTATTACATTGGTACTGCCAACTGTACGAGATGCAATCCAGTGAGTTACTGTTTTGCCCAACCGGTCATGTCATGAGTCTTGAGCAGTTGATCTTGGAAAATGGGACGCATTGACCTGTAACCAGCATAACATGCCAATGTAGTTCCTGTGCTTCTTCCCTGCTTGTTGCCTTTCCAACAGTTGCATGTATTGGGAATAGTCCCGTGAATGAGTGGGCCTCTCGAGTTGGGGTATGGCATGATCTTCCTGGTGTCGGACGATGTCTTCTGCATGTCAGAGTTTGGAGAGGTTCGATTCGACTGGACTGTTTCTGCATCTTAGACAGTTTCTGTCGCTGTGACGCTGGCAACTCTGCATGTTTCCATCTGTTTGCCGTCTGGCCACAATCAGTTGAACAGAGATCTCACCAGAAGGACAAGGCAAATTCTTCCAAACGTTCAGCATACGCGTCAATCAATGACTGAACCTATCCGTGGTATCTGCAAGTCCGGCAGGAGTGTCGGAGAACAGAAGTGTGCAAGCTTAGACAACTGCACCATACCTTGCCCGTGCTGCTTTGCCGATGCGTGGCAGCTATCTAGCATGCCTCTTCCTTCTGGGTCTCGGGTCGTTATGGTCATTAAGCCGCCAGACGACCTCTTTTCGTGGCAGTCAGGCCCTTTCGGTGGTGAAGTTGGGTCCGACCGACTTGGCTTTCTTTCATCAGACCAATGCATTGAACAGCCGGGCCAATTTCTCCATCAGAAGTGTTCGAGGAAACTTGCCACATGCCCCGTACTACTTGCTAAGCGACGGTGGACCTGATTTTTCAGAAGCTGCTGGCGAGCTGAATGTTTCTCCTTTTCGTGCTGAAGGCATGCATTTGTCACAGTCATTCAATCCGAACTTTACCTGCCAAGGGCACCTGCAGAGACTTGCGCAGGCTGCTAGATGGGCCTCCCAGCATGGGGCGGCTTATCTCATGATATGGGAGGATGACACAAGGATGTTGAAACCGATGCAGACGATTCCCGACGTCGATCTCATCACTATGGGCAACATTGACAACAAGCACGTAGGATTTTGGAACAGTGATATCCGAGAGAAGTCGATGAAGACACCGACCGAGCAGTTGGCGCCAGCTGACCAAAGGCGTGTCAAGCAGCAAGACAAATTTGCCGCTCGGAGAGGATACTCAGCGGGGCCTGGGAGCGTGCTCAAAATCGATCCTTTCTTGAAGGCAGTCGATGCCACTCCTGCAAAAGACTTGCGTGACATGTATACGTACACTGAGCAGGACATGTGCTGGGAAGATTTCGCTATCGGGAACAACCTGAGGATAAGGCGAAATCCTGAAGTGCAGCAGGTTACTTGGGCCTTTAACGATGGGGAGTTCGTCGGTCAAACGGCGGAACCTGGCAGAAACCTCAGGTGTCTGGAGTGCTTAGACGCTTGCAAGGTAGATTGTGGCTGCGCGGATCCCCTCTCCTGGAAAGAGCGTTTTTGGTCTGTCCGCGAGGGGCTTGGGGAGTTCGTGTTGGGTGGACATTTCGGCTACCGTACAAGCCTCCTTTGGGGCAGGCCGTGTGGGTCTTGCAAGCAGAACTGCTGGGCCCCTTGCTCCGCGACGTGTATGTCCACCTGCCCAGCCGTGGTCCATCCGCAAAAGCGGCCCATCCTGGATTGCACATAGAGAAAACAAACGTCCGGACTCCGAGAGGTATTGAACAGGTTTTCCAAGACATTTCAACACCGAATGCCTCTGCCTGCAGGCTCTCGGGCTCCTCCGTTGACGCTGTGGTCTGCGATTTGCCCTTCGGAAAACAGCTCTTCGGTCGCAAGCTTTCCGTGGCAACATCTGCTTTGTCGGCTGTCCCACTATAGAGGGCAGAAAGCGGCAGCTGCAGCCAGGTATGGCAGCGAAGCAGGCCAAAGCCTGAGTGAGAGACATCACCAGAGCTGCTTCCCCCTTTGACATGCCATGCCCTGCCCAAAACCTTCCTGGAAGTAGCAGAGACTAAGACAACTTGGAGCTCTACCCTGCCGTCGTGGCAGAGTTTTGCCGAGCCGGCTCCCCAAGTTTTGCTAGAAAGCCACGCCTCGCGGCTTGGAGCGGTGGAGCGGAGTCGAACAGAGGTACTGCGCCCAAGCACGGGCAGGGCTGCCCTGCTCACAAACCAGGCGAGAGTTTGAAACTTGCGAGGCGAATTGACCCCGACACCTTCCGCCCCCCTTCCCGAAGCCAGGCCAACGCTGGACGGCTCGCAGAGGCCCACGGAATGTGAGCGTCGTTTGGGGCGCCACTGTTATCTCAGTTGAGCACCGGATGCTGCTTGCGGCAAGTTCTTTTTGTTTGTGTCGCTCATGCCTTTTTTTTGGGTTGGTGTCGCTTGTGTCTTTTCTACTGCTTGGGAACAACAGTCTCGAACTAGAGGCACACTGTATAGAACCCCGGCCCTCTGAACTGACTTCTCCAGAGTGCCATCGGGCAACAAAAACAAAGACGATGGATTCTGGCGAAGAGCCTACTTACCGCCCCCTGCGCCACAGCAAACCGGAAGACCGAAACACAGCACTGAACTCAACCCCCAAGCCGAAAGCATCCGAAAACCGCAAGGGGTCAACCCAGCCGGAGCAAGGCCAAAACCGTATATCTATCACCAAAGCCGCTTTTTTCCGAAGGCAGTTGGAAGCCCCTAAGCCCAAACCGCAAGCAAAGAACCCAAGAAGGCCGAACACCTTCAAGGAGTCAAGCCAACTCCAGCCCTGCACTGGAAGCGCGAGCCAAACCCCAAACAGGAAGCCGACAAGCCTGAAAAAACCGACCCACGCCTTCACCCCAAACCGGAAAGGCTGGAGAAAGAGGGCTTTTGTTCGAGACGGTCGCAGCATGCAAAGAGACACAAGCGACACCAGAAACAAAGACACAGGCGACTACCAAGAAAGACACAAGGTGGCACCAAGCCTAAAACAAAGCAACTGACTCACGACCTCTTGAAGCTTCCTACAGGCCTTGGCTGCAGGACCTTGGCACGTACTGTGCCGGCGAAAGGTGCTGTTAGGCCACATGGAGGCAAGGAGCGTTAGGGTTTTCGCTGGTGAGAGGAGGTCCGGACAAGTAGGTTGTGACGGGTGGTCCAAAGGTTGTGCCGGATTGTCGACTGCCACAGCAGAATCGGGAAGTGTCGCGTTCTGTTGGCCCCAGAAGAAGTTCTGATGGCGACACTTCTTTTGCGCGACAATCAAGCACTCGTTTTTGCACGAGCTCATGCTTGTACGCAATGAAAAGCACTCCTTCTTGCGCATCTACGTGACTCACGATTCTGTTCATTTCTCCTCAATGCCATGCAACAGCTACAGACCGTCTAGGCCTATATAGGTCGGCGGAAACCAAACGGTAAAGGCTCAGTGCTTCGACTCCGTGGCTTGCTCTGCATTCGCAAAAGCAGGCAGTTCTTTTCCTGGCGCGCCCCGGCGCAGGCAATCTTGGCAAAGATAGTTCATGCTGAGGGGAGGGGGTACGCCTTAGCCCGGTTCAGGGGCATAAACATAAAGAGGAGTGTTTCAAGCACAGGCCGGGCACGAAGGCCACATGTCTTCATGCCAATAACACACCTGCCAGATGCGCGAGCATGCGAGCAGCTCGACACGAAGGCGCGCAGCTGGGATTCCTGTGGTCAGTTGCCATATGTTGCCATAGCAAGAGGTTGCACGATGCATGATTTTCGTGACGTGTGACTGGACGCTGCAGGACTCCATGCGGCTGCCGTGGGAGGACCAGAACGGGCGTCGAACGCGGCCTGCCAATTTTTGTCTAGCCTGGGTGTGACAATGCCGCGCGAAAGCAGTTACTGACTGACTGACGGCTGGAGGTGGTCTTCCATGAAAGCTTCACTCCGCCAGCCTATGCGAGCAGTTGCGGGCGGCAAGAAGAGTCGGAGGTGAAGGCAAGGGAGGCATTTCAGATGCATGGAAGTTGAATTCCTGCCAGCTTTCTCTGACAGGCTTGCCCTGGTCCGTGTGCAACTTCGATTCGATGAAGTCAAAGGACGGAGACAGGCTCTGTGCACCTGAGGGTCGTACGCGAAGTGCACTTGGACCTCAAATGCCTGCTGACCCGCTGCATCCCGCTGCTTGCTGTGTAGCCAACTGGAGCCAAGCCGAGTACCTTTGACGGATAGCGTGTAGTACAGTCACCGCCGCTGCCATGCTTCTCACGTGTGCCTTGGTGGCAGGGACTTCGAGAGAGAAGGGGAGCCATGGGATGCCAGGGGAGCTGGAATGCTTTAAACTCTATTGAAAACTTGGAGGTACAGAGACGCAGCCGGTCCAGGCAACGCCATCCTTCTCGGACTCTGAGGCCGCGATCTCCAAGCCAAGCCAACAGCAATCTCTCTTTTCCTTCTTCCACTCCGAGGGGAAGGTTGCTGTCTCGGTATTTCGGTTTTGCGCACTGCCTGCTTTTGCTTTGTCGTCTGTCTGGTTTCCTTGCTGTATTGCACTCATGCATCGAGATCGTGACCGTCATCTTCTTCCTCGTCACGACCACGAACGTCATCATCCCTAAGCCCCTGGAGCTGAAGAGCACCAACAACTGAAGGCTGAAGACCTTTCGACAACAAAGCAGAAATCCCAAGCTCTCAAACGCTTGAGGCCCCGAAACATCCTCACTTTTTAGGACCCTAAACCCTTAAAGCATGAAGAAAACTGCAACTACATATCGGAAGCATCCTTTCTTACCCATGTTATCCATCAGCCTCACGAGCCTCCGCAATTTCTTGCAGCTGAAACACCCCCGGGACTACCAAACCCGAGCGTCTTAGCGTGCCTCAACCGGAAACAACGTCAACTCTCACATTGACATGGTGTTGTGCAAGGACTTGTAAGAACAGGTCTCGGAACCTTCTAAAAACCACACCGAAAGACAGGGACCTATGAATGAACCCAGTGATAAGCCCATACTTGGCTACAAAATCCCCGCACAACACCACCCATGAAGTGTGGTCAGTCGTGTTCTTCGTGCCACATTTCCATTGGCTTCAGTGTTACACATGGCTGAAGACACAAGCCAGATGGCACAGACAGCCCCTGAGGCGAATACCTACACTGCACGGAAACTTTAAAGGTGGGATGGAGCACCCAAATGCCACATCTGGAAGGACCGAACCACCAGCGACTGCTTTCTGGAAAGAAGTCCACCCCTCGCGCGAGAAACCGGGGAGCAAGAACAACAGCAAGAGGAAATATGCAATTCCTTGAAGGCTCAACGCCTGACGAACTACTGAGCTCCTTCCTTGCAGCCAAAGTGGGCACTAGGTGGGACTGAATGTCAACAGCTCCATGCAAGAATGGCATCACAAGGTTCAACTTGCTAAGGAAGGCTTGTTTGGGGGTAGCTTTCGCCAATCGATCCGCTGCGGCGTTACCTTCAGTCATCCATTCAGGTTGACCTTCAAAGTCTGACGTAACATGGGCTTTCACCTTGACAACCACCAAATTGCGACCGTTTTCAAGAGAAACCTCCTTTAAGAACACGCACCACAAGTCGTGGTTGTCAAAGTTGCAGGCATCGTCACGCCTGTACCCGGCACTTTTGAGAGTGAGGGCCCTGTCAAATTGACGCGCAGTCAATCTGTAAGGGCCCAGATGTAAGCCTCAAAGCCCACACAACTGCATACAGTTCTGCGCGCTGCAAGGTGTGATCATTTCCAGGCAACAAACAAGCTTACTCAAACTGACCAGGGATAGCAACTGCTGCCGCGGAGTTCGCAACAGTTGCCATCTCTCATGAAACGCCAGACCGTCGACAAAGACTTCTGCTTCTACGGCAAAACGTTCGCCTTCAGTTGGAAAACCGACCAGCAGCCGTGATGTACCTGACTATCCTGTAGTTCATCAGGCACCAAGAGGATTCCGGTGCATCATGTAAGTAGATGTTCAGAACCTCTTCGTGGTCGAGTTTCTTCATACAGCGAACATACCAAAAACATTTGTTGATGATTTTCGATTGCTGCGCTGCAAGAACATTCGTCAGTGTCTGTGAGACCTCACCCTGTCAATCGCGGCCCTGTCTAGATTGCACCGGTAAGAATTGTCTCTAATACAGCCTTGGCGTAGCGATGGTCTTTCGGAAGGCAGGTAAGGCTTTAGTAGTTCAAAGTTGGAGTCTGCGCGAAAATCATTGTCGAACAACAACCTGGCAAGGAACGGCTCCACGTCTGGAATGTTTACATCGATGTTGCAGTCATGTCGTTTTGCTGCCTTCTTGAGCGAATATTTGCGAACGGCTGTGTCAAAAAAGTCTCGGAAGCGTTGGTTGCTGCTTTATGAAGCGTATTCGAGGATGACGGAGCTGGCATTGGAAATGACAAGCTCGAGCTCATTGTAAAAGTATGCGAAAACCGCCTGTCTCTTCGGGATCTCTGCCTGTCTTTGCCAATCCATTTGCATAAGCAGGCTTCCACTTGGCGGCTGCCGCCAGTCGTTGTCGGCCGCAGCGTGGTCGACGACCCGCATTCCGCCAACAGCAAGGACTCGGTTCCAGATGCTGTCACATGCTCGTTTCCAGGCCAAAACACTCCTGTCCCAAAGCTCACCAAGAGCAACCGATGCGCCAGAGGAACGGCTGGACGCGATTGGACGTGGCGTTTTAAAATTCTGTATTCATATGTCTCTATATATATATACACATGCAAACACACACGCACCCACATACACTTTTTCAGCCATCTATCGATCGATCTATCTATCTGTTTATCTATCTGTCTATCTATCTATGTACCTATCTATGTATCTATCTATGTATGTACCTATCTATGTATCTATCTATGTATGTACCTATCTACCTATCTATCTACCTATATCTCACCCACCTACCTACCTACCTACCTAACCTACCTACCTACCTACCTACCTACCTATCTACCTACTTATCCTTCAGTCTAGCTATCTATCTAGTTATCCATCTAGCTATATATCTATATCTTTTTTTAATATCTATCTACCTATCAATCTATGTATCTATCTATTTATCTATATCTATCTATCTGTTTATCTATATCTATCTATCTATCTGTCTATCTATATCTATCTGTCTGTCTATTTATATCTGTATCCGTATCTATTTCTATATCTATACGTATATCTATATCTATATCTGTATCTGTATGTGTATGTATATGTATATGTATACGTATATCTATCTATATCTCTATCTCTATCTCTATATCTATATCTATATCTATATCTGTACCTATCTATCTTTCGATCTATCTATCTATCTGTCTATCTATCTGTCTATCTATCTATCTATCTATCTATCTATCTGTCTATCTATCTGTCTATCTATCTATCTATCTATCTATCTATCTAACTGTTGAGCTACCTGTCTACCTGTCTACCTATCTACCTATCTATTTGTTTACCTATCTATCTACCTATCTATCTATCTGTCTATCTAATCAGTCTATCTATCTATCTATCTATCTATCTAATCAGCCTATCTAACCAGTCTATCTACCTATCTGTCTATCTATTTATCTAACTATCTAATCAGTCTGTCTATTTAATCAATCTATCTAACCAATCTATCTAACTAACCGATCTATCTAACTAACCAATCTATCTAACTAATCAATCAATCTGTCTATCTATCTATCTGTTTGTCTATCTATCTGAACATCTATATATGTATCTATTTATCTATCTATCTATCTATCTATCTATCTACCTACCTATCTATCTATCTATCTATTTATCTATCTATCTATCTATCTATCTATCTACTCAATCTATCAATCTAGTCAATCTATCTAACCAGTCAATCTATCTAACCAATCAATCAACCAATCTATCTGTCTAGCCTAGCCTAGCCTTAGCCTAGCCTAACGTAGTCTAACCTATCCTATCCTATCTATTACATGTATATGTATACATATATATATATATATCTATATGTAATTATCCAATATACACATGTATATACATATATATATATATACACACACACACACATTCGTGCTTGCCGATGCCTGGAACTCCGAGCTCTCCTCCCTTCACGTCGAAGGAGGGTGACAGCACAGCTTGGGAGATGCGACAGCTTCAGCAAAGGGTCGAGGACCGACGGAAGGCGGAGGTATGATGGAAGCTGTAACTGATATGTCACGAGGTTTGGGACGTCCAAACTCTTCGTCAGTTAGTGAAGACTGGGTATATTGCAGTCAGCGGCGGTTGTGCAGCACATCAATTCTTTGTTTTGTAGACTCCCGTCCCCCTCGCTGCTAGGCGCTGTGACTGTGCTGGGTTTGCCAGGACGTCCCGCAACACTCGAAGGGTCTTGCTAGAATGCGGGCGCACACCTACTGAGCCGTGAGAGGGGTGTTGAGTTGCGGAAAGCTTTGCCATGCAGGAACGGATGCCGGACTGGAAAAGCTTGTGGCTCGTGAACTACCTAGTCTTCTTGCAGCTTAGCTTGATCGCCACGTCAGTCTGAGACGATCTGAGCTCCGCTGCTTGGTTTGATCATCTCTCCTGTCCTAGGTTGGTGCTAAACGTCGAGATCGTCGTTCCAACGGCCGACCAGTATGCACAGACGCTCGGTGCCGGCGAGACCTTCAGCGGTCTGGTCATTGCCCTCACACCCTTCTTCCAGGGGCTGATAGGGATCCCAATGCAGCTGGGTGCCAGAAGAAGGATTGTCTTATTTTTCTATTTGGAGACGAAACTTGACTTGGTAGGGTCGATTGACGCAGAGGAACTACTGGATGCTCCGATCTGGAATCTCCCTGAAGACCATCCTTATTGTGATGATTGCTGGCAGCATCCTTGGGAACATCCTCTACGCCCTTGCTGGTCTCATGCGCTCCAAGATTGCCATCTTGTGTGCGCGTACGCTCATCGGAATCTGCCAGTGCCAGCTTGGGGGGCCCATTTACATTGCAAAAGCCGTGGGAGTCAAAAAGCGCACGAGGGTGGCGTGACATGCAAAGCCGGGACTGTTTTTTAAACATGAAGAAGACCTGAATGAATGGTCTGTTTTTGCTCCCTTTTTCTTCAGTTGTTTTTTACATTCAGACGAGGTTCTCTTCGTCTTCTCCACCATGGCCACCCTGGCGTTCACAGCAGCTCCACTGCTCGCAGCCTTGCTGGAGATCTTCGTGAAGGAGCTGCGAATCGAGAATTTGGTCCTCGACTCCGACACGATTCCGGGCTGGTTCATGGCCTTTGCATTCTTCCTCTTCCTCCTCAAAGTCGTCTTCTTCTTCGAGAACCCGCAAGAAGAAACGGCGGACCCTCTGGGCCGAACGAACGTGCCTTCACTGGCAGAGGCTCTCGACACAGACCCGTCTCCTCCGGAGTCCCTCTGGACCAGCGGCTTTCTGGTCTGCATCTTCGCTGCCTTTGCGAGCTCACTGACCAACACGATGGCGATCGTCTTCTTCGTGAAGCTGGCAGAGAAGACCTGGCGATGGAACGTGTCCCTTACTGCATTTGCCTTGGCTGGTTTCATGGCCGTCGTTTCGCTGCTGTCCCTAGTCAGCAGCAGGCTTGCCAAGCTGGTAGAGGACAGGAAGGGACTCCAGTTCACCTCTTGCATTGGTGCTGCGTGCTCCTTGATTACTATTCCGTTCTCGAAGAACTGGCCGGCAGCTGCGATCACTGTCATGTTTGTTGGGCTATTGCTGGTCCAGGCATCGGCTTCCGTCGTCAAGAACTACGCCTACGCACTTTGCCCCAAGATCGTGGCTCCAGGCTTCAAGGACCGAGCTGGTGCCATCAACATGATCTCTTTGATGCTTGGACGGGGCGCCGGTGCACAGCTAGGTGCAATACTGACATCAGTCAGTTTTGCAGGTTCCCAGTTCTGCACGTACTTGTTCCTCTTCTTCCTATCCTGGAAGTTTGCCGCGCATCTGAAGCAGCATGAAAAGGCGACTTAGTTCGGCACAGGCCGCACCGTTTGCCAATGAACTTTTGATATTCCGGGCCAACAGTGCCCAAAGCGTCAAATGCTCCGAATGTAAAGCAGAGAGCATTCTGTCCGACTTCCGGTCGAGTTGAAATTCCTTAGAACTGTGACGAGAGACAGGCAAGAGCTGCACCGTCACCTCACCCCGAAGTCTGCAGCTTGCGGAATGCCGTCCCGTCGTGCCAGGCGGTGCATCCCATGGCCGACAAGCTGAAGTGAGACTGCCACCACGCAGCAGGTTTAGGCAGGTGTGACGAGCATCCGTCGAGCACGAGGCCCGAGAACAAGAGCTAACTGCAACAATTTTGCTCGGCCATCAGACCAGTACCGCCTCGTGCGCCGACTTGTTTGGGGCCTGCCTGCTTATCCGCTTGACCACAGGATATTCCACTTCAGGTTCGTCCTCTAGTCCAATCATTGAGTCCAAGGTGTCCCACACCGGTCAGCCGGCAGGATCGCATTTACCAAATTTCGCACCAGTGCTAGATTTGGTTGGATGGATGGAGGCCATGTGTGGCCATGTCCGGTATGTTGGCTCCAGCTTGCGATAGTCTGCCAGGATGCAGATGCATATGCGGGCATGCTGCGAGTAAGAGCAAGACAAGCCGCATTCGTCCCAGACAGCATAGGTGTATCCTGTATCCATGTACCCTCATGTACCCTCCAAGTCCTGAATTCGAGAAGTTTAGGCAACTCCTGTGCTTCCCGGCATTGGGCCATCAAGTTTTCATAGAGGGACAAGGAATTCAGACGCCCGGCCCCTTCAATGGGCACGAAGCTGGTTGGAACTGTTCAAGCAAATCGACGCTTTGAGGGCTCGTCACTGCCTTTGTTTGCTCATGACTCCAATGCACTCATGGGCGGCAATCTCAGGCGGAGCTGATTCCAATTCAGAATCTCTCGTTCTCGGGGAGGGCCCATGTGGTGTGCAGACTGAAGGACTAAAGAGAGCTTCTACGTTTCGCAGTCTCCAGGCATCAGCTCACCTCAGCCCTCCGCACCGCTGAACCAGGCAAGCAGGGAGTGCCGCAGATACGTCAGTCGGTTGCAAGCCTGATTCCACGCATTGCTTCAAGCCCACTAAGTCAGTCAGTGAGATCTCAACTTCGTTGGATGTGTCAGGTGCTCGACGCCCTGCACTCTCAGTCTGGCACTCTGCACCGAGCTGGCATGACAAGAGGACATGACAGCATGTGATAGCACGTCAGGGGAAGATAGGCCTCCGTGTCTGCACCACCATAATTAGGGCTGGCCTGTCTCCTTCATGTCGAGACATGGTGTCGAGACATGGTCGACATGCCCAAGGCAGGGCCAGCTGAGCTTGCTCTCGAAGCACCTCGCCTCGCTGCGTGACGAGCATGAGGCCACGGACTGAAAGAACGGACCCACCTCGCCCCTACGCCTAGCCCCCTCATCGAGAGTGGGATTGCGCCTTTGCAAAGTTTCACAGCATTCCGTGCAAGTCTCAGTCGGCCATAGACTGGCCATAGAGTGGCACGCGTTGCCTTCTCCAGTAGCCGTGTTTCACTCCGATGCTGTGCCTCCAAGTCGGCCTTCACGGAACCCGTCGGGCATCGGACCGTGCGGTTTCATCATCCTAGACGAATGGAGTCATCTCGGCCCGAAGCCCCAACCCACAAAGAGTGGTGCAGATCTTCAGAAGCGCTTGGGTTCGCTTCAGGCTCTTTGCGAATGCCTGGCCTCGCACGGTGTTGTCCCTGGCGAGAGGTTGGGACAGTTCGGGTGAGTTTTGGGTGGTTGAGGCATGCGGTGTAATTTGTGCCACAACTCCATGCGCACAGCTGAGGGGCTTTGTGAAACCTCTGAGAGGCTGATGGCTTGGCTACATCGGCGTCGCTTCGCGGAAGCTCGGAGAAGACATCCGCTACAGCTGGGGCCCCAGCGACATCCGACCCTCGTCGATGTTTCGCCCATGTCACAAAGGTGTCACGAGTCCTTGGAGTCTCTGCTCCAGGCCAAGGACTGCTGAGGCTGAAAAAAGAAGGGCCTTTACTCCTTTGCTTCCTGTCCGCAGCTGCAAGGAGCTTTCCCTGACCGTGGCAGCCCGGCTTGGACTGTCGGGTTCGGCTACCGCCAGTCCGGGACCAAGAGATTGACTGCACCCAAGTCGATCTGCTCGGTTTGACTCCACCACACTTCGTCGAACTCCCGGCCAGGTGCGGCGTCGCGCGCGTTGCGCGGCTCCTTGGCGGCCGTCGGCCCAGAACTGGCCACCGCCTCAGAGCCTACTGAGCCTACTGAGCGCTCGTGCTGTCGATGGAAACTTTGCGCTGTTTTTACCACTGAGTGTTCAGTCGAAGCGCAGACTCTCAATGCTCCTGCAGGTGGCAATGTTTCCGCTTCACCTCTATGCCATTGGAGGGGAGGCACGGCTGCTTCAGGTGCCATACCTGTATGCATTGACCGTCTGACCATGCAGAACCAACATGCAGAGAAGATGATGGGGTTTGTCATGCACGGTGTACAGAGTCCTCGATCCTCCACCACACAGGAAAGCATGACAATCGGTCACAACATGTGTCATTTGCCTGCAGGCAGGCGGAGATGCTCTGGCATCCGTTGGAACCTCAACTGCTTCGATGTTCGGAGCAGGTCCTTGAAGAGCACTAACTTGACTCTGGCGCTGCTCTAGCCTGCTGAGGCAATGTATTCGGCATAGTCGGATTCGAAATCTGATTTTGATTTGTGTACAGGCATATCAAAGCTTGCCGCGAGGTCGAGCGGCTTGACGTTCGTGAGAACAGATGGGTGCAGAGCGCGCCTCTGCGCAGCCCCAGGTCGCAAGGGGCGAAGGGGGAGCAAGTGGTGAGCAGATCTGGAAATTGATCAGGGTTTTTTCATGGTTTTCCGGGTTCTGTTTGCGGGGCCTGATACGTGGGTGAGCTCCTGGAAGGAGCGGCTGCGCAGCCGTGGCGCTTTCGGGGCACATCTACGCGGTGGGCGGCTGTGGTCGGGGTCCCCATCACGAGAAACGAACAACGCAGGGCCTCGCTCGGCCGCTCCGCTCTCCCCTGAGGGGTTGATGGTGAAGATCTGCGGTCCGTGGAGAGGTGCAGACCTTGGTTCAGAAAGATCGACCTGCGATCGTCAAGCAGGATGAATTCCATTCCGGGCCTAAAAACGCGTCCCCAACGCCAATCTGTTTGAAAGGTTCAGCTTATGGGACTCGGAATGGGAGGCCGGGCCGACTGTAAAATTGCAACTGGGCATGCCTGAGTATTCAGGGTTCATAGGGTTTTGGTGTTTTGCGAGGGATTCGGGTACTCCCGCAAATCCTTGAGCTGGGTTTTCTGCCTGGGGCTGGTTGAGTGTCTATAATCTTCCCACTGGTTGGGGAGTGCCGCGGCTCCATGAATCTGCAGCATCTGCATAGTACCCGCATTCGCCAAATCAACTGTCGCATGTAGCCGAGTCCAGGAGGTGCCAGCGATGTCCACCGGCCGTGACGAGCTAGCGGCAGCAGCTTGTGGCGGCTCCCCGAGACTGGTCTCTTTTCTGGTAGGTTCTACTTGTAGTACGTTTAGAGCGCTCAGCACAGCGCGAACTCTGTCATGACGTGGGGGTGAAGGTGTGCAGGCGCCAAAGTAGGTACTGGCAAGACAGTCATGCCAGCTTGTGGCGACTCCGCACAAGACTGAGGCGGCTGTCTCTATGCCATGGGCGGCAGCCACCTCGTTTGGCCGGTGCTCTGGGGACAGTTGGCAGATGTAGGCAGCTTGCAAGATCTTGGGCAGAGACACGAAGCGGGCCAGTTGCAATAAGGGGTGGCCAGAACTTACCCTGCCAGCCACCATGGACCATACCCGGGAATCTCACAGATCATCAGTAAACACGCAGCATCAGTGCTCATCCGATTGTATCCGTTGATCATGCTTGTTTCTGCTGCTGCTGCTGCTGCTGCCAGTGTGGGTGTTGGTGGTGTCGTCGTCGTCGTTGCTGTTTGCTCTGATTATATGGGCCGCCTTGTCGTGGCCGTTGCAGGTGCGCCACGTCTTGGACTCGGCAGAGCAGTTCGACCCACGGAGCCACTGTACAGGCAGCTGGCAGGCCGCGGTTAGCCGTGAGTCCAATGCAGCAAAATGCAGCAATGGCTGAAAGCTCTCTGAGCATTCTGCATTCGGAGGCCCTTCCCCGGCTTAGCCGGGAACGCTGCGCGGCTGCGGCGGTGGCAGTGCGGCGGCGGCTCCTGGTGCTCGGGGGCTGTGATGAGGCCGCGATGTCAAATAGGAACAGCCGAACTTGAATGCAAGGGCGACTCCCTATCTCGAAGTCCTCTGCCTTCAGCTGTTGAAACTACAAAGAGCCGAGATCTGCCAGGACGGCGTGGCGCTTTGTTCAGCGGAGTCCTTCGACCCGACGGCGGGGCGCTGGGCGTGGATCCCCGGTTGTAGAAAGAGCCTTGTTGTGCGTTCGATGGTGTAATCCCTGCAAGTCCCTACTAGGCTTTTCTTAGCTCGATAGCGGACGTTTCTGAGGTGCCACTACCGCCGATGAAACGGCCACGGTGCAACTTCGTACATGCCTCAAGCTTGACTGAAGCACTGGATTTATGCCGAAACCGCGGTGCCAGAGTTTGTGGAGTTTGAAGTACGTATCTACTCGACTCAACAACAAGTGCCCGAAAGACTGCTCACACGACACTTAGACACGACTGACTTAGGGCTTTGCATGGGTGTTCCTTATGGACTTGAGGTTAACACATGTTAACACCTGCGACACGGCTTCCCTGCATCTTAGTAGCTCGAAGTGAACCGCCAGAAAGCCACAGCAGAGATCCGCACTGTGGCCCCAAACCAAAGCACGCATCACGACACGATGCCCACTGAGGCTGCCGCTGCAGCCGGAGGTCGAGTGCTGGTGGCCGGAGGCTACGACGTGCGGGCGCCTGGAGTCGCTGCGTCTGCGGCCTTTGCGATGCGTGCTTTGGGCTCTCCCGAGCTCCAAGGACAA